AGTGTGGGCCTTGTGATGGCAGCCTGGGGGCCACGTCAAAATTCTGAAGGAAAATGATTTCCAAGTCTGAATTCTATCCCGTCAACTGATCTATGAAGTGCCAGGGAGAAAAAAGACATTCACAGATATGTTAGTTCACAAAAATTTTACTGTCACGCCTCATTTTATAGGAAGCAACTGAAAGATGTGTGCTACCAAAAGGAGAGAGCAGACCAAGGAAGATGACAGGAACAGGAAACCCTGGCGGGAGGGAGGGGACGCACAAGGGGGGGACTGGGCCACCAGACATAAGCGCCTGGCAACTGCAGCAGCTCAGAGGCTCCAGAAGCGGAGGAGGCAACTAGAGGAGGGGTGAGATGAAATCAGCAACCAATATAAACACAACTAAGCCAGGAAATGCTAGCATAAGTTGCTTAGGAAGCAGATGCTGTCCTAATTTATCATGCAGCTCAATTAAGACCAGCATTTAGGGTGTAAGCACTGATATGACAAAACTACATTAAAACTATACTGGAAAGACAGAGAGCGGAAAGGGCAAAAAGCGTAAGTAGTTGGAAAGTGGTGGTTGGGTGTGTTCTTCACATTGTGTAGAAGGAATTGCATAAATATTGTCAAAACTGCAAAGTCAAGAGGTAACAATATAAATGTTAGCTGGGGCACGGAAACAAATACATCAAATGACCAGTTAAAAGAAGAGAAAGTCATCACTTTTAGAGAAGGAGAAATGGAGAAAGGGGGATCAGGCTATTATGCTGCTCATAAAAAAGAACATCAATAGAGTTTTAGAGTAATGCATGCATTTTTGATAAAATAATAAGTACTAAAAATAAAGGAAAAGAAGAACAGAATACACCCCAAAAATGTGGAAATAGTGAAGAGCAAAAATTAATACAGATAAAATAGAAAAGATCATAAAAGTAAATAATTTATTAAAAAGGCTAATAAAAAGACAAGCCTCTGACAAGACACAGAAAAAAAGACAAAAGTAAATATTATTAGAAATTAATATTTTCATTCAACAAACACTGAGACCTGTTATACCAAGGACATCATAGCAAACAAGAAAAGTTGTTCCCTCATTGATACTTCTTTGATAGAAAAGATTAAACAGGATACAGAAAACACTAAGAATAATGACAAATAAGAAAGACTTACTACTCCACTAAGTGAGAGCTTCTGTTAGTAAAGAAACAAGATGAGCTATAGACAGCGAGAAGAGAACTGACACACACTGCTAAGTATAAATTCCTGATAAAGAAACTATCATAGAAAACAGGCAGAGAATAACAGTATATCACAGTACACATATGAAAAAAATGTTCACCCTCAGAACAGAATGTTCACCCTCACCATTTGCAGAAATGCAAACGAAAAGCACAACTAGATGCCATTTCTCAGGGGTGAGATAAGCAGAATTTCTAAGAGTGTGGAAGTTCCAAGTTAGGGCAAGGGTGTTAAGTACCAGGAACTTGGATCAACTATTGATGCATTCTGGAACAACTAACCTAACCAATAACCTGGGACAATATACCCTCAAAGCCAGTACATCTCCATCTGTGAGTACACCCAAAGAAACTGCCAGGTATATAAGAAAATATGTCCAAGAATATTCAGGTCAGCATTACTCATAACACTGAAAAGTCTGGAAACAATCTACACGTCCACTGGCAGAAAGAAGGATAAATAAAGGAGTAACAAGTGTTGAAGGCTGCATACCTCACATGGATTTGAAGAAATAAGTTTTGGAAGTTTCTCTCCTGCATATATACGTCATGTATAAAGCAGGCAAAAGCAAATGAATGCTATTTGGAGCTACAGATATTTGTGGTAAATCCATGACGAGAAGGCCAGAACACACTGGTGTAAAATCAAGCCGTGGTTCTCCCTGTCGTATGTGGAGGAAGATGCCATCATGTGGTGCCATGTTCCTTTCCAAGATGGGTGCCAGGGTACGGGTACTGTTTCCTTATCATCCTTTAAGCTGTCCCAAACATTGCATACTGTCTTATATATTCCATGTACACTGCTAAAAATACATGTATGTCGAAGGGAAGGAAGGAAATAATAGTAAATGTAGAAGTTAATAAGGAAGAGCAGGGCCGGGGATTTAGCTCAGTGGTTTGGCTGCCTGCTGCACGAGTGCAAGGACCGGATTCGATCCCTGGTACAAAAATAAATAAATAAATAAAATAAAGTAAGGAAGAGCAATGTAGAAGTGTTAGTTCCCTGAAAAAAATTCCCCGTGCATGTATGAGGAAAAAAATGCAAACAAAATGGAAAATGAAAAAGAGGACATAATACACAATGTTAAAATTGTAGATGAACACCATTCCTGGCCTTTTCTAACACATTTTATAGCTCAAAAAAGTAAGTTAGAATGAATAGGTAAAACAATTGGTTTAACACAAAAAGACCAAATAGATGAATACACAAGGAATTAAAAAGTTATTAGTAAACTACTCAAATTTCAGTGGTCATGTACTTTTCCTTGAGTTTATGGAGGGAACAGTTTCTGTGTTCATTAAAACTATTTTGGAAAAGGGGAAAAGTACAACGAAGGGTCAGAGGGGTCTTCCACTGACTTCCTGCTAGTCCTGACTTGCCATGTAATAGCAACACTGGTGCAAATGAGTTAACCTGGACTGGGCTTCCTGTGAGGTGGGGTTAATCAAACCTGTATCACAGGTTGTCAGGACTAAATAGGGCACCCCCCCATCACTCAGCAAATGCTCAAGTATCAGCTCTCTCCTCCCTCTACTACAGCATCTTGTAGCCCAGGAAATAGAAAACTTAAAAAGGAAAGCTATCTGTCAGAAGGTCTTTTTCTACTATGATTAAAATAACAGTCTATTCTAAACGAAGAGTAATGAGTACAATACTGAAAAGTTCTAGATTTAATACAGCTTAAGTAGCTCTAATATGAAATGCCTAGGATTGTTCTAGATTTTGGAATACTTGCATATACATAGTGAGATATTTTACAGATAGGACCCAAGACTAAACATGAAATTCATTTATGTTTCATACACAGCTTATATTCACAGCCTGAAGGTTTTACACAATATGTTTTAGTGTGTTTGCATTTTGGCTGCAACCTGTCACATGAGGTCAGGTGTGGAAATTTCTACTTGTGGCAGCATGTCAATGCTTAACAAGTTTGGATTTTGGAGCATTTCGGGTTTTGGCTTTTTGTTTTTTGTTTTTTGTTTTTTCCAGTACCGGGGATCGAATTCAGGACCTCAGAACCCTGCACTTGTGAAGCAAGCACGGTGCCACTGAGCCAAATCCCTGACCCAAGATTTTAGCTTTTTGGAACAAGGACGTCCAACCTATACCTTGAAGATCAGAGATATGCCTATGATCATGATTCTGTATGGTCTTTCAAGTCTTAGCCAGTCATTAAGGACTACAACAGGAATAAGAAAAAAGAAAAGCTAAAAATGAAATCCAATAAACATTTAAAAATGAGTATGTATTAGGTGTTCCTGGAGGGGAATAAATACTTGGAATTGCTAGCATCTCTCTCTCTCTCTCTTTTTTTTTGGTACCAGGGATCCAACTCGGGACCTTGCACTTGTGAGGCAGGCAGCGGCACCACGGAGTAAATCCTTGGCCCACTAGCACTTCTTTATAGCAGCAATTTCCAGTCAAAAACAGGTAAGATGGTTCAACTAAGACAAATGATTGTCTGTGTTTTCAGATATCGTCACCCAAACTTGACTATAAAACCCTTCCATGAAGATAAAAATCTTTCCTCATATTCTTCCCATATAAGAACAATAAGGAATTGGAGTTAATGATGAATGAATGGCTGATTAAATAATTTAAATAAAAGTAGTAACACCACAGTAGTAAGACTGTGGATGGATTTCTTTTGGTTCATCTCCATTATTTTCCTTTTCAAAAAAATCAGAACACTGCACAATACAGAACAAAACATTTAAAATGCCTTAATTTGGTTGTAATAAAACATACAAATGCTAAGAATATTCAGAATTCTATTGGGGTAAGTCAAAAGATTTGTTTTCATAACTAAGACTTAGACTTAATACATTTAGATTTCATAAAAGATTTGAGTCCTAGGGCTGGGGATTTAGCTCAGTGGTGTCGCCGCCTGCTGCACAAGCACAAGGACCTGAGTTCGACCCCCAATACCAAAAAAAAAAAAAGAAAAAAGGATTTGAGTCCTAGACATTCCACATGGGTAGTTACTATGGTAAGATATAAATTCCTGCCTACTTCACTGAGTTACTGTGAAAAACCAGATAAAAGGTTTGTAAAATTATTTTAAATCCTGCAAAGTACTACCTAGAAGTGCAATGTTAGAGTGTCTTGGATAAGGCACAAAGCTTTCTAGACTGTCGAGTGTTGGCAGAAAGACACAGTCCTGCCCTTGTGCCACCAGAGCCAGGGGCTCTTCAGAACAAGTAGGGGCCACTGTCATGTTCACCACATCCAGGCCACGAGTCTAAGCTGCTTCCTGGGTGCCAGGCTTTGTCTAGGTGTGATCAATACAGCTCAATGTATGACAGGAGGTCCAGTAAGAGCTAGAGGACAGTTCAATGCTGGTCGAACTGTACATCCATGTGGACAAAGAACTATGAGGCAATGGAACAGAAGCGCAATGCTTTCCTGAAGAAGATGGTGTTCTAGTAGGCGCATAAGCTGTCCTCCTGGATGTAACCCAGTAGACCTGGAGAAAGGCAAATGGACCCTGCTCTGTCAGGCACAGGACAGGATGCCTGGGGTGGGAGAGAACTGTCCTTGTGACATCTGAGGTCTTTTCCGAGCCGGAGCCTCTTAATTCATGCCAACAAGGAGAGGAAAATGTCATGAAGGGGTGGGTTCAGACAGCTACAAACTACCGCAAGAAAGGTTCTAAACAGTTTGCAAAGCAACCTGGGACTATGTGGAAACAAGTCCCGGTGTGTTTGCTGGGATGTCAGCCTACCTTGCCCATCTGGTTTCTTCCCACCGCCTCCCAGATGTGGGATTCTTACCAAGGCAGAAGCCTCCTGAGGCCACCTCCGGCATCCACTCTTCTTCTTTTCCCAGCTGAGAAAACATATCAGGTTTGGGTCCCAACAGTCCTGTTTTTGAGGGGAAAAATAAGGACCACATCCATTCATAAAGAGACAAAAAATCATTGCAAGGCTGAGATCTGGTCGTCAGAACTTCCCAGAAAGGGTGATTTGACAAGAAGGCCCAGGTGGGTACATGCTTGGAGATGGAAGAAAGGATGGCCCAGGCCTGACACCTGTTCCTACATCCTTCCCCTGCTGGAAGAAGGCGAGGAAGGATTCAACCCCTAGATTTCTGAGGCATTTCCACTTAGGTCTTCAAAACAGGCCTGGGGACCAAGGGTAGGTGACTGGCAGTTCTGAAGAAGCATTCTCAATGGGCCCACTTCAGCCCACTCCGGTGTGGCGTCAGCCTGAAGGGCCTAACAGACTGTCCACCTTACCGAGCGAGACCAGGTTGCTGTAGTTCTCCAGCATCACCTCCCTGTACAGGGTCCTCTGTGGAGGGCTCAGTTGCCCCCATTCCTCCTGGGTGAAGAGCACAGCTACATCCTTGAAAGTCACCAAGTCCTGAAACGGCAAAGCCAATCTCACTGGCTGGGTGCTATCCTGGGGAAGCTGAGGCTGGCTGCCCCCAGGAGTGCATGAGGATTTACCGGACTCTGGGCACACAGGGAGCTGGTGTCCTGGGGCAAGGTCAGCATTTATTGGGGGCTCGGCTTTGTACCAGACGTTGCTCCCCACTTTGAAGAGATAGACATAGGCCGTGGTGAAGACGTGCATCCTCGGCACTGGGACCACGGAGGGCTGTTCATTTTCTCCATCTCCAGAATTCTTCCCAGCCCTGCCTCTGCTCTTCCCCGACATGGCCAAACCCTAGTCCAGTCTCTGCTCAGACACTACCTCAGCACAGCCTTCCCTGGCTGCTCCTGCACCCGTCGATGTGGGCCCGCTGAAGCTCTGACCCACTTCACTGCGATCTTTGGTTTACGCTCAGTCTCCACCTTTGGACTGTTACCTCCACAGTATGGAACAGTTCTACATCTCCCTCGTCTTCTCAGCATCTTCAGCATGGTCATAGTTGCAGCAACTATTAAAAGTCATACGTAGCATAATGTTTGGCTCAATGACAGGCCACATATATGAAAGTGGCCACATAAGACTATGATGGAACTGGAAATCACTGTTGCCTAGTGATGTACTTACAGCTGGCGTCAAATTTTAGCACAGTGCACCACTTCCATGCTCGAGGTGGTGCTGGGATACAATACCTACTGTGCTGCCAGGTGTACAAAAGTACATACGATCATGCATGTTCAGCACCTAATATTTGGTAACGATAGTCAACAACGTTACTGGCTCACATATCCAGTATACTTTTAGTCATCACTTCTACTTATTTAAAAAAAGCGCGCTGTAAAACAACATGCAGTGGCACACTGCTAAGAGCCTGGCACATCTCATGTTCATCTTGACTGCATCAAGAAGCCACACTGAGGGGCTGACCTGGGTCATTTAGATTTGTACAGATACTGTTAATGGTGTTTGCACAAGGACAAAATCACCTAATAGTGCATTTCTCAGGACATGTTACTGTTAAGTGATACAGACTGTACTTTTCTGCAATTCTTCAACTGCTCATCTGTCCACCCCCAAGACAGACAGACAGACACACAGACACACACAGACACACACACACACGCGCGCGCGCACCATGGAAACAGACATTTATACTCTGGGACTCTGTTCCCTCTGATTTACAACTAGTCCTTTTTTTTTTTTTTTTTGAAAACTTTCAAACTAAGACAGAAGAAATTGTTTCTCTCAAATACCAGAAATCTAATACATAGAATTCAGTGTTTTCACAAGGTCTTCCTAGCCACCAGGGAGCTGGTTTATACTGTGAAAGAAAGATTAAGTGGAAGCTCAGAGAAAACCAAGGGGTAACAGAGAGCACTGTTAGGGTATTCCAGATGCCATTTCCACAGCCAAAGTCCGGCTTATCTCTGTCTTTAGATTTGGGGAAGTAACTCAGTATCTTTCCCATAAACACCAACTTTTGATTAAGGTAGTCTCAATTACACTTCTGCTGCCGGAATCTAAAGCCTTGGTATACAGCAGGCAGCCGGGAAACACTTGCTAAATTGAACTCATGAACCAGTTTGTCAGAGACTGCTTTCCACCTGTGAGTTTCTAGCATAGACCATAATACTCGGCACATTTTACATCCCTGATGCATGTCCATGCCTGACAACCAAAGTAATGCAGGCTATAAACACAAGATGGGCAGTGACATTGTTAGGGTTTAGACAGTTTGTCCCCAAATATTTATATGCTAGGTTTGGTCCCCAGTGTAATGGTACTGAGGGGTGGCAGAAGCTTTAAGAGGTGGAGCCTAGTGGGCAGCTATTAGGTGAAGCTTTAAATGTGAAGGAATTAGAACAATTTTGCCAAATGCACCAGAATTTATACACCCGAATGAATGAATGAATACGTTCTCTTCAAAAGAGATTACATACTTTTTTTTTGAGACAAGGTCTCACTATGTAGTTCAAGCTCCCCTTGAACTTGTGGCAATTCTCGTCTCAACCTCCTGAGAGCTGGAATTACAGGTGTGCACCACCATGCCCAGATGTGTACTCTTATTTTAAAGAGCTTGGCACCACTCAGAGCTTTTCAGGAATTTAATGGACATGGAGGCACATTTTGGGGGGGGAGGTGTGCTAGCAATGAAACCAGAACCTTGAGCATGCTAAGCAATCACTCTACCACTGAGCTACATCCCCAACCCACAAAAGAAGTCTTTTAAATAATTCCATTGGTATCCAATATTTCTATGAAGTAAAAAGCCAAATAACTTTTTTTTTTGGTACCGGGGATTGAACTCGGGACCTTGAGCTTGCAAGGCAGGTGGCGGAACCACTGAGCTAAATCCCCGGCCCAGCCAAATAACATTTTAAGAAAAAGAAAATAATAAACCTCTCCAGGGCTGTGTCAGATCTTTACCATTCAGACCTCTAATCTTACCTGCTCGTAGAAACAGGGCCGGGGAAAGGTTTTCATTTCAGACCAACCAGTTGTGCCCCTTACATGAACTTTAGCAAGTCACTTAGCTCTAATAGCCACCTGGAGAAGCCAACACGGTAGGAGAGAGCAACCCGGGTCAACTGTGCGGGGGAGATTGGAGTAGGAGTGAAGCTCCTGGGCAGGGGAAGAAACATCCCCGTACTCTTCAAATCAGAAGGCAAATTAGGGCGAAAACCCCACTCACCTGGACCACGGTTGGCAGGTGGCTCACAGCCATTCTTTCTTCTCTGATGCTTCCTCTTAGGGACAGGCGAAGTGCTGCGGAGGCCGGCGAGGGGCGTAAGCAAGCTCGGGATTCTTCAGGCTAGAAGCGGCCACACACCTGTGAGGAGAGGGCTGGGTCAGAAGGTGTCGCAGCAGGAGAGAGGCTGTGGCATTCGCACTCTGGGGGTCCACTGTACCTCCCTGCAAGGAACCCTTCGGTCTCATTTGCTCCAAACTCTCCTGCTTCTGAGAGATTTTCCCCACTCCCTCCCTCACACCTTTCCTGTAGTCATATCCTCCCTATCTCCCCTTCTGTATTTTAAATACTTTGACCGGCAGAAAGCTTGCTCCAGTCCCAGTCCCCATACTTTGTACCCGCCCTCTGTCCTTTCCCCTAAAGTATGCTGAGGAGTCCTAAGGAATTGTCTCTCCTGGGACTGCGGATCCGGAGGGGAGAAGAGGAAGGGGTGGAAAGAGGGTTGACTTTCTCCTGAAAAGACGCGACCTAAGTAGGCTAGAGCCTCGATGTTGAAGTCTCTCAGGCCACGCTCTTCGATAGCCTCAACTTCTCACTCTCCGGGGCCATTTGGGTGACCCGGAGTCAAAGGCGAGGAGAGCCACAGTGAACGTGTGTGCCTGCTGCTCGGTCGGGTCCCCAGGGAGGTGCTGCAGGGCTGCACTGCGGCTCCCTCGCCCTTGGCAAACCCTGTGGCGGGCTCGGGATCAGCCGTACCCCGACCAGCTATGTGTGCCGGGGCTGCTGCTCCACCACACGCTAGAGGAGGCCCTGGCCCCATCCGCTCCACAGGCACTGAGACTGGGACCCTAAAACGCAAGAAGCCCGATCCTGCCGGTCCTTCCCTTCTCCATTTGGAATAAAATCTCAGACACACACTCTGGAAGTTTGGGGCATTACAGCAGGGTCCTCCAGAATGGACCACGACTCAGACATCCTCGGCTTTCCCTCACCCCTTCCTCCCAGACCTGACCACACCACTGCCGCTCTCCCTTTGCGGCTTTGGCCACCGTGTTTGGTCACCGCTAGGTCACCCTTCCAGGAGCCTCTACCGGCGGCGAGAGACCGCGGCCACCACCACATCGCAGTCAGTACACAATGAGCAGGAATCTGCAACCCTGTCCGAACTGCGCTTGCGCGTTGCCCTGGAAACCGCGGGGCTCAATTCCCACAAGTCTGAGGGCTGCGGTATTTTTGTTTGTAGGACTGCACTTCCCAGAAAGCAAAGCGGCGAAGAAAGTGAAGGTCTGCACCTGCGCAGGCAGGGCTCCGCCCTTCTGTCCCGGAATTGCTGCTGAGGGCTGAACTATGTTTCCCAGAAGCCTCTGCGGAGCACCGCCCTAACCCTGTTCAGCTACCCACCTCTACGCAAGCGCTAGCAGTCTCGCACGGATTCCGGTCTGTTCGGTCCAGATTTGGTCTGAGTCTCTACTTTGAAATAATGCTCAGGAAGCTACGCGGACCGGAGGATCAGGGAGGTTAGTCCAAGGGAGTGACGCTTGATCCGGTGATGAGAGGCCCCGGAAGACCGAATATTTCCTCAGAAAGCTGGCAGGGTTGTACCCTTGGCCCGAAAGAAGCATCAGATTGTCGCTGTCTGGCCGGGCAGGTGGGCCAGGGCATGGTTCTGAAACGTGAGAGAAACTCCTGCAGTAATTGTGGGGTGGATGGGGATATTAGGATGAAGGCCCCGGAGGAGGCTGCTGCAGCGACTCAAGACAGAGCTGATGGCAGCTGGAACCTGGGAGGAACAAGGGCACCTTGAAGTGCCCAGCTGGTAGAACAGACTTAGGGGCGAGGGCGAGGGAGCCTGGAGGCCGAAGAATCTATCTTGGACAATGCATAGAGAAGTCAGAATTCATTTTTACTGACTGGCTGGGGTGGGAAGCATGAGGTGATGTGAAGGAATACCCCCGCTGGAGACACTTTGTTGTCATTGATCATGTAATATTCATGGATATCAGCAAAGAATGAGAAGGTCTCGTGTGACCTGAGCTTAGTCACTTTGGGAATTTTAGAGGAAACAATGTCAGTGAATAAATGACACTACAACGAATTGGGGTTTTATTGATACCATTCTCTAGACACTTAGGAAGTATTTTATGTGCCAGGCACTACTTTAGGGCCTGGGAAAATAGTGAAAAACCTGCACTCTTGCAGTTTTAGTTCTACTAGGGGAGGTAGTCAACTAAATAGAAAATTTAGTTATTACTATGCTGGGAGTAGAGTGTGACAGGAGTTGTATATTAAGTAGCATTTGGGGATATTCTCTTTGAGGAGGTAATATGGAGGTCTGAATACAGTGGGGAAGGAAACCATGTTTCGAGAATCTGGGGCAAAGCCACTAAGGAAAGGGAGCAGAAATGCTATGTAGAGAGAGGAGTCTTCTTAGTGAGTCTGAATCTAAGCAAGCCCAGTGTGACTGGCTATGGCACGCCAGACAGGGGAGAATGGAAGATGGGGATGAGGGATAGTTAATGAGAGCCCTGGAGACCATGGTAGAAAATTTGGATTTATTCTGTATGTGATGGCAAGCCATCAGACAGATTTGGGCCAGCACCATGGCTGAGCACAATAGGATAGTTACTGGTCAGCTCCAGGGAGAATAGACTGGTAAGACTGAAGGGAAATGGGAAACTAGATAGGAGGCTTTTGTACTAGGGTGAGGGAAAGCCTCCCATGGCTACATAACATTTCTTAAGTCATTTGCTTTGAAAGCCTAATGATTCTAAGACTTTAAATAAGAGTTCTGGATGCTACACTAAGCAGTTTAAATATGATTCTGTTTCAGCTATATGAGGATGACAAATATTTATGGAGCACTAACTACATGCTGGACACTTTTAAAGCACTTTACATTATTACCTAATGCAACCCAAAGCAATTAGGTTTGTGCTGTTAGCAAGTGAGAAAAGTGAGGCACTGATTATGTTAAATGGCTTGCCCAAGGTCCTGCATGTAGTAAATGGAAGTAGGAATCCTACTCCTGCTGATGGAGGAAAGGACAAAAGCATCCTTGTTACTTAGCCGAGAGCTGACATCCAAGCACCCAAAGTCTTCCAAAACTGAAAATAGTTATGAAGCCTCCACTGACCCATCTCTCCTGGGGCTCCTGTAGTTTGCTAGGGAGTACCCAACAGGCACATTCCACAGCCAATTACAAAAACGAAACTGAAAAAAGTTAATGTGAAGCCCAGTGCACCCTCTCACTCAGGCCAGGACCCAACACACTTCACTGTTCTGAGCATTCAACAGAGCAGCCCCCACTTCTCAAGGATTTTTACTATGATCCATTATGCTCAGGGAAATGAGGTTAAAAATGTGATCAGGTTGCCAGGCATGGTGGTGCACACCTGTAATCCCAGCACTTGGGAGGCTGAAGCAGGAGGATCACCTCCAGTTTGAGGCCAGCCTGGGCTACGTAGTGAGTTCAGGGGCAGCCTGAACTACAAAGGGAGACCCTGCCTCAAAAAACCAAAATGTGATCAAGAGAAACCATTTCCATATCTGCTTCCACTGTCAGTTATGCAAATGAACACTTACATGCAAGCAGAACCTGTATCAAATCTGACCACTTCTCCTCAGAATAGGTGCTATTCCCTACAAGATGTTGTGTTCACCTGCTGAGCCATGTTACATGGCCCTTGCAATAGGATGTAATGAGAGGTTCCTTTAGCTTCGTTTCTTGTCATGTCTTGACTTCTACTCTACACCCAAATCATACCCTTTACAGTCTCCCAAATATAAACATACTCAGCCTTATCGCAATTCCTTCTGCTCTTCCATCTTCTTTGCACTTAACTGGCTCACTGCTATGGCAACCTGTGCTAGGAGATGCTCAGCAGCAGGGACTAGCGGTCCTTCACACTGGAGTTCATACAGCTACCTATACACTGAGTAGGAACACTGACCTACTCATACTTAGCACACCAACATGCAGCACAGGAAGTGCTCAAGCAAGTCTATGGACTACAGGCAGGAAATGAACTGTGCCAATGTGTATATAGCCAGGGAAGTAACCTACCTCGACTATATACTAAGCATTCATCAATTTTCAGAGTACCTTTCCCTCCAGATCAGCTGTGAATTTTCTGCAGGAGCTGGATGCAGTCCCCATGAACATCCATGTGTTGGGGCTGTGCTTAATCTGAGGGAGGAATACTGGCACTGTCGTCTTCAGCTCCACCTGCTATGGAACCCTGACTAGTACCTCTTTAATTGTCCAGACACCCATTTCACAGAGCTCCAGTGAAGGAAGTGGCCCATCTGAGTGACGGTCGGTCCATAGAGAAAAAAAACCCTAAACATGCCATTCTCTGTGGTTGTAGAGGGCCTCGTGTTTCTTGTTATCTTAGACATCATCTGACTGCATCCTAATTCCCCGTTCATTTATGACCCCACCGCACACCATGAGTGGCTTTAGAGGCCAAAAACTCCAGCAGCTATGGAGAAAGTGCTCAGCAAATACCCAATGGTGTGCTGATCGTGACTGGCTGGCTGACTGCTGCTCACAGCCTTGACTGCATGGACGGTGACTGTGTGGCAGCCTCCTCCCCACCAGCTGTCTGGAAAAGGAACAGGTACTCATGCAGAAAAGGGCATCTGTGAAGTCTGTCCTAAAAGGATGATTTGGGCCAACTGGGATTCTTTCACAGAATTTTAGAATTAGGACAGAGAGATGTGGTGGTCAGAAAGAACAGCTGATGCCATATTTTGGATCATGTGCAAATTTAACTGCAACATGAGAAGTCATCCATCAGTGAGGAGATGGAAAAAAACAGTGGCAAGATAGCAGGTGGTGGTGGTAGCAGCAGTCAGGGGTAGAGAATGGAGGGGGAGAGGGCACACAGATGTCTTTGGCTGCTGATGATTCCAGCTGATGCAAGGCATGGCTATGTTATTTCAAGACACAAAAAATAATTCTCAAATATTATAGACATTGCAGACTTCAGAAAGAACACCAAAGTGAAAAAGTTGGTTTAACAAGAAGATGCCACAGCCAAGGTCTTCTTTCCCAGACCTTTACACTCTGGTTATCTTTTCTAGGTGTTTCCCAAATAAACAGCACCCTTTCCCTCAATCCAAGTATGGAGGCTTGAGGATGGAGCAAATCACCAACACAGCTTCTCCAGTCTTCTGACCCCCCAACTCCCTTGGCTCAGCATGCACATCCTGGGGCTTGTTGAATACATTCAAATATAAACTGGTGGAGTGAGAACAGGCAAAGAAAAAGGGAGAATGAATCAGAACTGTACTAAAAACAGACTTTTAATAATATATCTCCTTGTGCCCCATCTCCTTTTCTAGTTTCCCACCTGATCTCAAGATAAAAATGGAGGGAAAGAAGAAAGAAGGCAGAGAGAATAGATGGGTAGAAAATAGATGAAAATCATAAAGATAGCAGCAAAATAAAAGCTTAAGAGGAAGGCACAGAAGGGTGAAATGAAGGGTACTGAAATTGAGAGTGGATACAATGAATCAAAGTTGGTAAAATAATACTACTAAGGAATTACATAACCCAAAGACTAGACCTGTTAAAGGACCAAACAATGACAGTTCATAGGCACATTTTCCACTGCCACCCACATCTTCTGGACCCATGATTTCTTAATTTCTCTGCCTCCTATTGGAGTTTCCATCCTGTTAAAAGGATTTCTGCAGCCTCAGGCTGCGCTTCAAATCTTTCTCACTCTGAGCTGTAGATTCTCTCCTTCCTGTGCTCCCTGACTCTCTCATGCTTCTGTTTTGCAGTTATATACACACTTAATCCTACCTTTCATTATACAAACACTCCCCGCCAGACTACTGCTTCGCCAAATCAAAACCATTCTGAAAGCCATTTCTTTGTCTACCTCCACTAGAGAAAAGAGAAGAACTAAATACTTCTTTTCTCAGCCTCCCTTGATTCTAGGGGGCAGGCATGTATAGCTGTGGTCAATGAAATGCAAGGAGTATGCTGAGGGGGTTATGGGGAAACATTTCTAATAAAATACGCTGATGTTGCTGGCCTTATCCATCCCATCTTCTTACCACAAATGTGGACATTCTACCTGAAGCTTGGCCACCATCATACAACCAAAATAGAAACAACATGAAACTCAAGGTATCCAATTACTTCTGTGAACCAATGCCAGCAGCCTCCAGATTTGTTATTTGAGAAAAATTAATTCCTACTTGCTTAAGACTTTGCTAAATGGGCTTTTGATGATCTGCAGCCAAAGGCTCCACTGACAGATAAATCTTCTTTCAGCCCCATCTCCCTCTGATTATCTAAGTCTCTTCTGTCTCAATAAAGCTACTAAGTCCCCTACAACATTTAACTCACTCTTCAACCCAGTAAAATTTACAGAGGTTTTAAGCATCTATTTTAAATTGATAATTATAAGCAAAGGACATATTCTATGTTTATCTTTACCTTCTTGTAGCACTGGATAAGATCCCTATCCTACGCTAATAATTCTTTTACTTCTGTGGCACCATCACTTCCTGATTTTCTATTTTTCTTTTGGAAGTTCATTCCTTTCAGCTTCTACTGACTGCTCTTTGAGCCACTTACTCTGACAATGACAATACTCCCAGTACTGCCTTCTGCTTATTCTGTGTGTTCTGTTGCCTACTAGGACTCTTCACTCTGCCCGTATTCATCAAAATGCCCCTACAATGAATGTATCAATGCCCCCAAAATTGGCTAGTTTTTTATATTCTTAGTTATGGCATGCCAGTCCACTCAAATAAGAAACTCAAGTCATTCTAAACTCTTCCTCGTAATTCAAATATCTACATTTAACCAGTTACCATTTTTTCTAGTCTCTGGCTCATCACTGCTTCAGTTCTCCTTTCCTTTCACAACACAAGATCGCTTTCTTAGTTTAGCCCTTACACCAGTTGACAGTGAAGCTTTTGGAGCTTTCAATGCTAACAAGCAGCCAGATGCGACACATGAGCCACAATTTCACCACCACTGCCTTAGAACATAAAGAATATATCTTAATCATTCTGATTTTCTAGTCATGTCTTTAGTACTGTTAAATATGGGTAGAATAAATGAAGCTAAACTACTATCACCCTGATAGATGTATAAAATATCCCTGATGGTTTTGAATGTAGTTTTGAGTTGCAAAGGTTTTGTTAATATACTAGATGTCCTCTTGCTCTTCTCTTTTCTACTTGGAGAGTCAAATACAACACAAAGATATGTATTTGAGTCTATGCTGTACATATAGACTATAGTTTTCTAAATAACCGGCTAATTTAACAATTTATTAATGATGAGAACTCAAAACAGCATGCTAATGCATTATGATTTGTACAATTATCCTATTACCTGGTAGAAGCCACCCTATATTTTAAGGTAAAAAGTAAGGCAGGGAGAGAGGAAAGGACATGGTAGAAAATAAGCATTGGTAGAGGTAAAGAATTTTGACTTATAACATCCAAGGAAAACAAGCTGTGAAGTAGAAGCACCTAGAAAACATATATGATAGTAAAAGACCAGAAATTTCTCACCATCATTGTTTGTACAATTTTGGCAAACAGGGGTCCTTCAGGCTTTCAGAATCCAAGATCTCTCAATTAGCAGATAAGAAAACTGTGACCCAGTAAAAGTGGGTGACTTTTCCAAATTAGTGGCATCCAGGACTACATACCAAGTCTTTGTGCTGCCCAGCCACACACTGTGACACTTTCTTTTCAGTATGAAGTCCCTGATGTCCAGAAGAGAACAAATAGAACGTATCTTCATAGTTACTCAAACCTGACATAAAGTAATTTTACCTTCTAAATCAAAATTTCTCTAATCTCTTAAGGTTTCTCTGCCATGGTCTGTATTATCTGATGTGGTATGTAGTACTTCAACTAAAAGATTCCCACAATTGTTACGTTTATTAGGCATCTACAGCAACATGATTTATATAATTACTTAAGACTTAATCACGACGAAGGGGCCCATGAATGCTTTCCTCATGTATGAGTTCTTTGATGTCTTGTAAGGTTTGTACTCCGACTGAAGGCTTTTCCACACTCATTACACTGATAGGGTTTCTCTCCTGTATGAGTTCTCTGATGCACTATAAGGGATGAATTCTTAATGAAAGCTTTTCCACACTGATCACATTCATAGGGTTTTTCACCAGTATGAATTCTTTGATGCTCAATAAGGTACGCACTCTGGCTGAATGCCTTTCCACATTCAGAGCATTCATAAGGCTTCTCTCCAGTGTGAATAACCTGATGTACAGTCAGGGATGATCGTCCAGTGAAATGTTTTCCACATATCATACACTCATAAGGTTTCTCTCCAGTGTGAATTCTCCGATGTTGAGTAAGAGATGAGTTCTTACTGAAAGCTTTTCCACACTGATTACATTCAAAAGGTTTTACTCCAGAGTGAAGTCTTTGATGTTCTATAAGGTACGTACTCTGGCTAAAGGATTTCCCACATTTATTACATTTATAGGGTTTTTCTCCAGTGTGATTTCGCTGATGTAGGGTAAGGGTTGAACTCTTGCTAAAGGCTTTTCCACATTCACTACATTCATAGGGTTTTTCTCCAGTATGACTTCTCTGATGCACAATAAGATGCATGCTTTGACTGAAAGCTTTTCCACATTCATTACATTCATAGGGTTTTTCTCCTGTATGAGTTCTCTGATGCACAGTAAGATTCATGCTTTGTGTAAAAGCTTTCCCACATTCATTACACTTGTAGGGCTTCTCTCCAGTATGAATCCTTTCATGTTGAATAAGGGATGAATTCTTACGGAAGGCTTTCCCACACTCTTTGCACTGATATGGTTTCTCCCCAGTGTGAGTTCTTTGATGAACAGTAAGGTTCATGCTCTGACTGAAGGCTTTCCCACATTCATTGCATTTGTAGGGTTTCTCTCCAGTATGAATTCTTTGATGTACAGTAAGAGAAGAGCGTTCAATGAAGTGCTTACCACAGACACTGCACTTATAGGGTTTCTCCCCAGTATGAATCCTCTGGTGTTTAAGAAGGGATGAGCTCTGGCTGAAAGTTTTCCCACATTCATCACATTCATAGATTTTCTTTCCTACAAACATTCTTTGAGTTTTCATTAACTCAGTGTTTTGTTTGGCATCTTTTCTATGTGAATTCCAACTGTGGGGGTATTTTGATTTAGGAATGCCTTGCTGTGTATTAAGGACTGAATCTTGATTGGAACATCTTTCAAGGTCATTACCTCTACATACCCCCCTCTCAGTGAGGGTTTCCTTAGGGGTAACCTGGCCGAGATGTCTTCCCTGTTGCTCCTCTAGCCAATTATCAGGTTCCCAGGTTTCCCCTAAGGTTGAATGCCTGAGACCTTTCCTTTCCATTATGGATCCATGGACTAAATCTTCAGTAATATTGAGCTTTGGAGATAACTCTCTGTCTTCAAGTCTTGTCTCCCAGTCTGAAAAAACAATTAAAATGCACATTGGTTTCTGTGTTGGAAGAGCGAAAACTTTAAAGATGGCAATAAGCAGTTGAAACTAGAGTAAATATTAGGCACATTTCAGAGCTTTCAAAGATATCTTTACAGTTAGGTAAAGAAATTGGAAGAGAAGGAAAGAACAGTGGACCTGTCCATAGAAAACAGGGGAACTAGAAGCAGGAGATGGCAAATCCATTGGATAATCAGAAGAAAAAGTGCATTCAGGAGGGATGGGCAGTAGAATCAGTGAACACTGGTTTCAGCCCAATAATGAAGATAGAACTGAGAGAAAATACACCAAGAGAGATGACTGGGAGAAGCAAATCAGAAGGCTGGCACATCATGCGTTTTATACACGACAGCAGTTTTTTTTCCCTCCAGTAAGGCTCCTTAGAATCCTACAGCAAATTAATCTTTATAAACCATCACAGTGTCACACAGGGAAGAAGTTGCTGAGCTCAGAGTCAGACAAATGTGCTCAAAGCATGGCTTTTCATGCCATCTAAATTCAATACTTGTTTCATTTCTCTGGGTCTGATATTTTATAGATATAAAGTATCTGTATATTTTATATACAGACAGATATATATATACAGGAATAAATATCTATATTTTACATATACATACACATACACATACATACATACATACATATATTACCAGTAAGGAGTAAGATGATATATAAAAATTTATCCTTGGGGAAGGAATAAAATGATACACGAAAATTAACCTCAATGAACATACATATATGAAACAGAGAGTACCAGAACACACTTGAAACTACCTCTTGAGGGAGGATTATGCAACTAAAGGCATTTCCTCCTTAAACTTTAAGCAGATAGTAATGTTTCACATAGAAAACATCCTAAAGGGCCCTGCCCTTTCTACATATCCTTTCTGTGATTATTAGAACTGGTGGCAAGGTAAACTGTTGAAATGCTGGAGATGGGAGAGGGGGACTGATAGAAGGATACTGGACCCATTCAGACTTTATTCAGAAAAATATAGTGAAGTGGCAAAGAGGACAGAGGACAGGAGACAGTGAGGACAGAGGCAGTCACAATCAGCCTTGTGGCTGCTGATCAAAGTGAACAGAACATAGATCAACACTGAACCAATGAAACAAAGGCTGTGAGCACAGGCTTTACTGTGAAGCAACTGAGATTCACCCTTTCCCACTTTAACTGGGATCACCCTTTCCCACCTGATCTGTTTACATAAAATAAGTGCAACAGTGGAAAATCAAGCAGGCCCGACTGCCAAAACACACATACACCAGCAAGTAACCCAGAGAAGATCCATGCAATGGAGCATGCAAATATCAGCAGGCAACCGATGAACTCAAGGCTGACTTGTGCCTACCTCATTACAGTCACATTCTGCTATCTAATTCAAGTTCCTTGGGACTATTTAAACTGCAGCCCAGCAACTGACATAAAGAACAAAGAGATCTACTCCTACTGTTAAACAAATACAAAGCCCAAATAGAACTGCTTCTATTCAAAGATAGATAATCACAGAAAGTATTAACTTTGGAAGCTTTATAGAAGATCAGGAAATAAATTTTAAAAATAAGAACAACAAGATCATAAGAAGCAAAGGCATGAAATCCAAAAGGGAGAATATGAGTTGAGAAAATAAAATGCTTCCAGTCACCAAACGATATTAAAAAGAAAGTGGAAAAAAACAGAAGTTACATACTGGGAGAAGATAGTCACAACATGTGAGCTATATAAAAGTAAAAGCTAGACAGATAAAACTGTCTATGAAACACTAAGCCACTAGAATAAGGGCAAAAGACCTGAAATAGTACTTTAGAAAACATAAATGTTTTTGTGTTCATGTTTTATAAATATAAACAAAGATGCCCAATTTCAGTAGTAGCCAGGAGAAGGCAGATCAAAGCTGCCATGAAAGTCAGGCATAGTGTTGTATGTCTGTAATCCCAGAACTCATACGGATGAGGTAGGAAGATCGAGAGTTCAAGGCCACCCAGGCCTATATACCAAAACCCTATGTGAAAAGAAAAACAAAAACAAAAATCTGCACTGAAATTCCATTACCACACCAGTCTGAATAACAAAACTTTAGTAAAAATTCAGACTGATAGACTGATGGCTTCAGATTTTGGAAAGCGGTTTAAAATGAGAAATTCTAGCAACTGCAAGTAAGAGTGCAATTTGATTCGAATATTGGAAAAATAGTTTAGTTCAACTAAGAACATTCACACAGATATAGGATAGATTCCATAAGATATAGGAAATCTACCAGTAGGTGTGTATGTATGTACACACACACACACACACACACATTTGTAAATGTACCTTGTTCAACACTAGGATTTATAATTTTTAAAGTAGCATTGTGCAGAATAGCAAAAATTTGGAAACAACCACATGTTTATCAACAAGAGAATGAAAATTAAATTGTTAAATATTTAAATGATGGAATAAAATGAACATAATAAAGTTACATATATCAATATGAATGAATAATGTAGGCAGAGGTTAATGGTTAATATTTCCCAGGATAGCAAATAATAGTGGCATATGCCTGTAACCCCAGCATTCTAAAAGGGTGAGGTATAAGGATTATAAGTTTCAGGCCAGCCTGGGCAACTTAGTAAGACTCTTATCTTAAAATAAAAAAGGGTGGGAGAATATCTCATTGCAAAGGCCCTGGGTCCAAGTCCCAGTGTAACAAACAAACAAACAAAAACCACTAAAACAGATTAAAACTAAGTATATTTTCTAGAGGCTCATTTATAGATGGCAGTATTACAAAGAACAGAAAGGTAAGGGACTTATCATGGGAGTCAGAATAGTAATTTATATTGGGTGGAGGTAAGAGGGCTTAGAAAAATATGCAGGTTTCTGTTAAATAGAGATCATATTTTACACATATTTCAAAAATCAAGTGAGAGAACAAATTATTTGCTATCCTGGGAAATATTAACAATTTTAAGTTTGAACATCCTTTTAAAACAAAAGTTATTAGATTCAATATATCCCCATGGGCTGTAGTGATCTAATTTCAAAGTTCTGAAGACGTGTTTGACAAAAAAGACATTACCTAAAAAGTTTTAAAATCTGGCCTAAGACATCTTCCCAGGAAACCAGAATACAAAGACAATGGCCAGGCCTATAAAGGACTGAGGAAAGGAAGGCTGTGTGACTCAGGAATTCAATGTTGACAGTACTCTAGACACACCCAGTCTTTTTTTTTTTTTTTGAGACTGGGACTCACTATTTTACCCATGGTGGCCTTGAACTCATGATCTTCCTGTCTCAACCTCCCAAGCAACTAACCCAAAACACATTCTTATACAGTCATGTGTCATTAACAATGGGGACACATCCTGAAAATTGCATCATTAGTTGATACTGTCACTGTGCAAACAACATAGAGTGTATTTACACATCACTAGGTGATATAATCTTATGCAGCCACTGTCAATATGCAATGTCATCGGTGGAAGTGTCATTAAATAGAGTGTTATGGTTCATGTCGAAATATCCCCCTGAGGCTGCATGTGATTATAGCCAAGACTTGGGAGGTGACTGGATTATAGGGGCATTATAGCTGACTTGCTGTTAGGAGGTGGGGCCTGTCCAGAAGAGGCCAGTGAGTGTGGCTTATATCTTTATTCCGAGCTCCTCCTTCTGTTGCTGCTTTCTGTTTGCTATGAGGTGAACAGTTTTTCTTCTGCCATGCCTTGTAGCCAGCCGACTATGGACTGAAATGTGGAATGTGAGACAAAATAAACATCTCCTCCATTAAGTTGTGGATGTAAAGTGTTTTGTCTGAGCAGTGAAAAAAGTGAAGAAAGACACAGAGCGTGGCTGTGTCTGATTTCAGTGATTACATTACTCCCCAAGCATGCCTGAAAATTATTAAATATTCAATTTAAATAAAAAGTAACTTTTGAATGGAAAGAGTTGGAATAAATAACAGTTGGCAGTAAAATACTGAATCCACTTAGAACAGAGTAAATAACACTGGTAAATATTTTTTTAAAGCCAATAAAAACAATTGATGACAAACTGGAAAATGAATAATAAAAAAAAGGACCAGAAATAGCAAAGATAATATAGGTGCACTAATTTTTTTTTTCAGGAGGAACTGATAAGGTATTTTATCTCTGAACATTATAAACTAAGAAATATACGACTTAGCCTATTATATGAAACTAAATGGGCAATAATGAATGTAGTTAAAACTGTCTCCAGATTAACATGGAAGGCAAATGCAATAAGCAAAAGAATCACATAAAACACAGAATATTTAGGCAATATTACCAATGTCAGAAAACAAAACAAAATAAAAATAGAAAAAGAAAAAACATTTCTATTACCCTAACAGATGTCAGTTACATTGGGTCAAAACACTAATGATTTATCATCAATAACAGATACTGTTAAAACAGTGAGCCTTGAAAAATTGAAAGTTAAAAGATAAATGCAAAAAAGGAAATCACAAACACATAAATATCAAAGTTAGTACCAGGCCAAAAATATATAAAAAATAATTCAACAGGATAGAGGGTCACAAATGAAGCTATAAGGAATTATTAAAATATTTGTCATGAACATTTATGCCTCAAATAATGGACAAAAAGAAATAGAGGATATGAAACAAGACTAAAGGAATACAGAAAACAAACTATTAGAAATATAAAATAGAAGGTGAGCCGGTCCCAGCACCCGGAAGGAAGCTCCCTGCCTCCATCCCAGGCTCCTAGGGCAGAGAAGCTCAGCCGGTCCCAGCACCTGGAAGGAAGCTCCCCTGCCGCCATCCCAGGCTCCTAGGGCAGAGAAGCTCAGCCGGTCCCAGCACCTGGAAGGAAGCTCCCCCACCACCATCCCAGGCTCCTAGGGCAGAGAAGCTGAGCCGGTCCCAGAACCCGGAAGGAAGCTCCCCTGCTGCCATCCCAAGCTCCTAGGGCAGAGAAGGTGAGCCACGTGAGCACCAGAAGCAAC